CGTGCACTGGTGATCTCAGCTATTTGGGAGGCTGAGGCAGGAGGATCAAGGCCAGTTCGGCAAGTTAGGGAGATGCTGACTCAAAGAATAAAAAGCGGGGCCTGGATTTTAGCTATGGCACCACGCCTGTCTCCCAAGCGCAAGGTCCCGAGTTCGATCCAGTGCCAGGAGATCGGCTCAATGGCAGAGTGCCGGTGTGGCATGCAGGTCAGCAGCCCAAACAAATCCACCGTCAGGCCGGTGGGGACCCCGTGGCCCTGAGATGGTCAGTGTGCGAGTGGACACAGGAAGCCCGTGCCCCCACCCTGTCCTTGGGACCCCGATCGGCTAGAGCACGCAGACATGGGTCCTTCCCTCTGCACCTGGTGGCCGCGGGGTGACGGAGCGAGGCAGGTGTGGGCACCTCAGCTGGTGACAAAGATGACAGGACCTCACAGACAGGAGAGGGAAGGTGAGCAGGGGGTCAGAGGGCCAAGGACAGTAGCAAAGAGGGTGGGGGCAGATGCCTGAAGGGCCGCTGGGCCTCCATGGCATATGCAAAGGCCCTGGGGTCCAGATTCCAAGGCTACCCAGAGCATATGCACCTGAAGGGCTTAGCGTCCTTGAAACCCAAGACTTCTCTCCCTGCCTCATTTTCCCACCAGTGTGCAGACCCCAGAGGACACGGGAGGCTCAAGTTTGGGGACCACCCTGGTTTACCCCACATCTCCAACGGCTGCCTGTGGTGACCCGTTTGCCCCAGCCCACCCTCCCATGGGACATAGGGGTAGCTGTGGATGTGGAGAGAGAAGGCATCGTGGGCCACGGGCACTGCCTGAAACCTGGGTAAAAATAACCTCACCCCTTGCCCCTGCCGGTGGCTGTGACGGTGGCGGCTGCGGTGACAGGGGAGCGCCCGCAGGAGCATCCGGATCTGGTTCCCAGCGGGTGCCCAGCCCCCACCTGCAGCCTCGCGGAGTGGGCAGAGTGCGCGGAGGGGCTGGGAGGCGCCCACCTTCCGGTCCACACAGCCACACAACTGCCCCTCCGCAGCTCCTTCGGGGCACCCTGTGTGCAGGCCATGTGAGAAGGGTCTGGGGCGGGGCAGTGTGAGGGCAGCCTGAGCCCACTCAGAATCAGCCTCAGGACGCCTCTTTCCTGATTCCCCCCACCTCCCCATCTCCAGAGTCCATCCTAGACCCCACCCCGCAGGCCCCAAGGCAACTGCGCTCACCCCCAACTCCCCCCCATGCAGTCACAGCGGGCACCACCTTGAGCAGGTCAGCTTGGCTACCACAGGGCCTTTGCACATCCCCTGCCTGGGAAACCCCTAGTATTTCAGAGTCCCTGCTGTTTGTCTCTGCTCCCAGCTTCCAAGTAGAGGCCTAGGAAGTAACCAGGTTCATTTCTGTTCCACGCTAGGGGTTGGAGCCGGGCGTGGTGGTGCACGCCTGTAATCCCAGCACTCGAGCACTCAGGAGGCTGAGGCAGGAGGATCGCTGGATTGCTGAGTTCGAGACCAGCCTGGGCTACATAGTGAGTTCCAGGTCAGTCTCACTACATAGTGAGACCCTTGTCTCAAAAAACCAAACCAAACCAAAACCAAACCAAGCTAGGGGTTGGGTCAAGCCTAGAGTCAGAGGCCCACATGGTCACAGTCCTGTTCGAGGTGTGAACGCTTGCAAGCATATGTGAGGCCCTGGGTTATGCTCACCACCACCACTGCAAAACAACATAATGAAATAACAGTAATGAAAACTCTGCATGGCAGAAGCCAGAGCCACAGGCACATGGTGTGTGATCCTATTTATAGGAAAGGTTGGCAACAGGCAAATCCAGACAGGAAGCAGATGAGCCTTGCCGGACCATGGGGCTGAGGGCTAGAGGGAAAGGGTTTGCTTCCGGGTCAAGGGACTGGGTGCAAACAGGAGGGACTGGGCAGTGGAGTGCATGCCGCCGACTCCTTCACTTCACAATGGTTCATTTTCACCGGGTGTGGTGGCGCACACCTATTTTCCCAACATTCAGAAGGCTGAGGCAGGAGGATGCCTGTGAACAGGAGGCCAGCCTGGGCTACACAGTGAGTTCAAGATCAGCCCACAGTACACAGACCCTGCCTCAGAAATAAATGAAGAGTAAGAACAAGTAAGAAGGCTTCCTAAGCATAATAATCAGGGGTCAGAGAGGCTGGCTCCCAATGCGTGTGGGTTGACTCATCCCTGAGGAGGAGCGGGCGGGCCAGGTGCCAAGCTGTGCCAGTGTCCCTGGCTGCTTGCCCCACACACTCAGCTCACACCTGCCTCGGGGCCTTTGCACCTGCTCCTCCCTCTCGCTGGACCCAGGACAACTGAGGCCGAAATCTGAATTGCACAATGATTCTCCCTTCCCCCAGCTGCCCCTGCCTTCTTTAGGGCTCCAGAAAGGCCAAGGGCAGAGGGTTAGGAGAGCGGACAGCTGTCTGCGGCTGCAGGTGGCTGTGGCAGAGCTGGGGGTGGAACCCAGGGCCTCCGGCCTGCACCACGGAGCCTCATCTCTACTCTTGCTACCTTGTCTTGTGTTGCTGTTGTTTTGAGACAAGCTCTTGCTATGTAACCCACAGAGGGATTCTTCTGCCTCAGCCTCCTGAATGCCGTGCTTTTTTTTTTCTTCAAACTCAGCACCTTGCATTTTCGAGGCAGGCTCAGTACCACAAACTACATCCCCAGCCCTCCTGTTTAGTTGTGTATGTGTGTGAAACAAGGTCTCAGGAGGACCTTGAGTGTGTAACCCTCCTGCCTCAGCCTCCTGAGTAGCCGGGATTGCAGGGGCATGCCAAGGTTCCCAGCACCGTCTGTTTTGAAGGGACACTAGTAGGTGATAGAGGCCCCCGGACAAGGTCCTCAGCCCTGGCCTCTCCTCCCCTCCCCTCCTGGGGGTCCCAGCCCACTGGCACAGAGGAGGGTGAGGGCACCAATGCTGGAGGACTCGGAGTATTTTTAGGCGCTGAAGGCAGCTGGGAAATATTTCCACGGCCACTCCCGAGCGCGCTGGATGTTTCCGCGCTGGTTCCAGTGGAGTCCGGCAGGGCTGAGTCATCCTGTGGCCAGAGGCTGCGGGAAGGGCTCCCAGCACAGAGGGCGGGGCTGGCTGCTGCCCCAGCGAGGGCCGGCGGGGGACCCCCCCACCTCGCCCTTGAAGCCACTGCCACCCAGCACATAGCTCAGGTGGCCTTGGCAGGGATGGCATAAGCCACCAGTCTTAGAGGGTGCTGAGCATTTATTGCACGGCTGCTGCATACCGGTCGGTTGAGCTGGGCACGGCATTGTGCCCCTATCAGGCCTTTGCTGCACACCAGGCCCACCATAACCTGCGAACTGCACCGTGCACTCATTGAGCACCAGCTGCATGCAGGCTGCTCCTAACGCTGGTCCCCACCTGGAGCATTCACTGAGCCGTGCGCAGCCGCAGGGTGACCTTCAGCAGCGGGTGACACCTGCTGGTCCTGCACTCCCAACACCTGAGCTGAGGTTGGGCCCCTGCTGTGTGACCCTGGGCAGGCTGCTCACCCTCTCTGTGCAGCAGTGCAGGGGCTGCCTCCTGTGTGTGGAGTGGGCACAGCAGGTACGCGGCAGTGGCCGTGGGGCCCCACCTGGCTCTGGGCGCAGAGGCCCTGAGTCGAAGCCACTGTGCGGCCCACGGTGCTGAGGGGCAGCCCAGGGGTCCCCCCGCCTCACCAGGCCTCCATGGGATGCTGAGGGTCAGACCCAGGTTGCCGGAAAGCAAGGCGGAAGACTGGGTGTTAGTGTGGGCCCGTGGCCCCCACACTCGGGAGGCCGAGGCAGGAGGCTCTCAAATCCGAGCCCAAGCCCTCTGGGGTTGCCACCTCCAGGGCCTGCCCACCCCTCACACTCCATGTCCACTGGCCTTGGGGCCTTTGCATGATTTCCTCCCCGGGAAGCTCCAGCCATCCTCCCCCGACTCCAAATGTCACCCTTCCCCTAGCCACCTCTTCCCCTCCGTCCCTGCCTTCGGTCCACAGCACTGCAGGTCAGGCCAGGCAGCGTGTGGTCCCTGCGAGTGGCCCATCCACAGTCCGTACGAGGGGCGGCGGGGACACGCTTGGGATGCACAGAGGCAGGAGGTGTGGCTGGGGCCAGGGGAGCCTGAGGGGCGGTCCCATCTGTGCGCCTGGGATGAGGGCACCGCCTCCCAAGTGTGGGCCTCCTGCCACCGAGCACTTGGGGACAAAGCCCTGGGTGCAGGTGGGGAGCCCACGCAGGAGGCAGGGGACCCGGAGGCCGGGCGGGAGCAGCCTGGACTTTTGGTTTCTCTTCTTGCCCAGCTGACTTCCTGAAAGCAGCCCGAGGCCGGGACGAAAGCTTCTGGGAGCCACTGCTCCTAGGTGGCTGCAGGCAGGAGAGGCAGGAGGAGGGGAGCGGCGCTATGGGGGACGCTGGGGCGACGGCGGGGATGCAGCAGCACCGTGCTGGGGCCTGGTCGCCATCCTCAGCCCCCCAGGAAGTGGCGCAAGGCCCAGACCTGCCACCCTGTCCTGCTGAGGCCTGTGACCCTGTCCTGCCCCTCCTTGAGGGGCTCTGGCCCCAGAACAGGACCCGGGGCAGCAGATGCGGGAGGGGCACCCGCTAGAGCAGGGAGTTGGACGAGGACGCAGACGGCGCCGCCAGGACAGGCTCAGCACGGCCAGGAGCGTCCCAGGACCAGCGAGGGGCGCACTGGGCCCACACGGGGCTGACACGGGCACGGGTCCCGGCGTCTCCCTCCCGCGTCCCCCGGTGGCCAGTCCAGGCGACCTCCGGGCGACGGCACCGGTGCGAGGGACGGATGCGAGCCTAGGCCGAGAAGACACCACGTGCACCTGGTCGGGGCCGCCAGCCCGGGTCCCACCATGTCCACCCCGTGCTGGGTGGCAGGGACCCCGGGACATGGCCCTCCCACTGGGCAAGACGGCGCCGGGCCGGGAAGCGCTCCCAGGACGGCCACTTCCCCAGCGCGGGGACAGGGACGGGCCGAGGAAGATGGTCTGCCGTCTGTAGCTGCAGTCACTTTATTTCTGTGACAGAGAGGGGAGGTGGAAGGGAACGGACCAGGCATCTGATCGGCATGGGCTTTGGAAGAGGACGCTCGGGGACGGCGACAGCCACTCTTGGCTGTTCTGTCCCACACGGGGCTTGTGCAGGGCGGGGCACAACGCGAAGCGGAGGACTTCCAAACCCTGTCCACTGCGGGAACGGCAACGTCACAAAACCAGAAGTCCCAGTGACCCCGCAGGGTACCACGGTTACCTGAAAACGGAGGCGAGCCTCCAGGGCAACCCAGACACGGGGCCTCCCTCCCCTTCCGTGAGGCGGGGACCCAGGGCCCCTCACTGCTTGCCCGCCTGTCTGCCTGGCTTCTTCTCCGGCTGTCCCCGGCCCGTGCCCGGGAGGCCACCGCGGCCCCGGCCGCCAAACACACCTGTGGGAGGGGACAGATGGGCTGCAGCGGCCGCAGGCCACAGTGGCCAGGGAGGGCCCAGGACGGTGTCGCGGGAGTGGACAGGCTTCCCCGGAGACGCCCAGGGCTGGGCCCACAGGGACCCCGCCCACTGGCCCCGGAGGATGGGGACACAGGGTGCCAGGGCCACATGGGACACGGGCCCAGCCCCCGGACACAGTGCCCAGCACACGGCGCCCCGTCAGGGGCAGTGGGTGGCGGCCGGCCTCCGCCTGTCCCTCCACCCTGGAGGGACTTTAGTCGGCTCAGAGCCCGGCGGTGCCACAGTGGTGCAGGCGCCCATGACGGCCTGAAGAGCTGGGTCAGAGGTGCCAGCCTGCCGCCCAGCCAGGGGACAGAGGCTGCCTGGGCAGCCGCTGCTGGCCGCTCCACACTGCACCCTCTGAGAGCCGTCACCGGCGGCCCCTGCTGCCTGCCCACCCAAAGGGACCCACAGGAGCCTCCAGCACTGCCTACCTCGCCCCGTGCCACCTAGGCCCCGGCCGCGCTGCTGTTTCTGCTGCTGGAGCCCGCCACGCCCACGGCCCTTGGCCACCACCTCTTCCTTGACCATGTCGATGATCTCGTCGGGGATGCGCAGGTATTTGATGGTGCTGCCGCGGATGTAGCACTCGGGCATGCGCCAGAACTTGTCCCCGTCCTGGACGGAGAAGGTGTCACCGGCCTGCGTACCCTCCTGCTGTGGGGCCCTGCTCCCTGCTTCTGTGTGTGCAGCACTGGGGATGGGACCCAGGGAACCCAGGCTGCACCCCAGCTGTTTCTTTTTATTTTATCCAGAGACTGCAGGCTGGCCTGGATTTGCAGCCCTCCTGCCTCAGCCTCCTGAGAAGCGGGGATGATAGGCCTGCGCCACCATGCCTGGCCCCGTGTCTCCCTTGAGAGGCAAGTTCTCCACCTGAATAGGATAGGACAGGACCCATGCACAGCAGAGAGCGCCCAGCCAGCTGCCCTCCTCCACGGCAGGCCCAGCTGGTGTGGCTGAGCGAGGTGCTCGACGCGTGAAGGCATCACGGCCTGGGGTGGGGTTCCGTGCACAGCACGCTGCCCGGCCCAGCCCCGCACCCTCTGCAGCCCGTGCCATCTCCTGACCCGAGAGCTGGGCACAGGGGTGCAGTCAGCACCGGAGACGTGGTAGCCGGGCAGGGATGGACGGTGGTCTGGGCCCCGGCAACCGAGACACTGCCTGAGCAATGCTGCCGCCCAGCCTGCAGGGGCCGCCCCAGCGCCCAGCTTTTTAAAGGCAGCGCCCTGAGCCTGTGTGGGAACTCTGTGGGCTTGGGGTACCTGCTCCCCAGGAAGAGCAGGCCAGGTGGGACCGCAGGGACACTGAGTCGGACAGACAGAGCAGGAGGGCACCAGGGCAACCCCGCCGGCTCCACTCACCCGGGACGTGCAGATGACCTCGCGCAGGTTGATGTTCATCCAGTTGTCGCAGCTCACCAGGTGCCCGTTGTACGTCTCCCCGTTCTTGAGCTCCACCAACTGAGGACAGACAGACCAGGCTGCCAGGGGCTGGGCCCACGGTGCTGCCAGCCTCCTTCCGATCTCAGGGCAGTACCGGGCCCCAAATGCTCCTTATTTTTCATTCTGAGGTGGGGTCTCACTAAATTACCTAAACTGGGCTAGAACTCGTGATCCTCCTGCCTCAGCCTCCCAAGTGTAAGGATGAAGGTGTGTGCCCCGCACCCAGCTCAAGGGCGCCCGCTCTGTACACGCCTCCACCCCTGGGGCCGGTGACCAGCAAGCCCTGCTCTTCTAAGGCACAGAGAGCTGGTGGGCCTGGGTTTGGGCCCCTCTGGAGGAGCAGCCCAGGACACACTCACCATGGGGTGGTTCTGCGCCGTCTTCAGCAGTGACAGGGGCAGCTGGAAGGAAATACAGCCTTTGTGACTTGGCTGATCGGCACCCAAGGTGCTGCAGGCTGGGTGGGGTGCAGGAGGGCACTGGGACCCCTCCCCGCACACGCCCCCTTCCTTAGGCTCTCTGCACAGGCACAGACCCAGCAAGGGACTGAGGAGGCTCCCAGATGCTGGGGCCTGCACTCAACCACCTGGGACCCCAGACTTGTCATGGTCACAGCACCCCCACTCCACACCTTCCGCACCCGAGGACTCAGCTGACTGTGGGCGCAACGAAAAGTGCAAGCCTGTACAGGGGCACAGGCCTAGAACCCTGTATTCTGGGAGGCTGCGGCAGGAGGATCATAAGCTCAAAACCAGCTAGGGCTACAAAGCAAGTTCAAGGCCAGCCAGGGCCACATAGCGAGACCTTGTTTCAAGAAAACAAAAGACACGTAGTGGGCATGGCGGCGCACACCTGTGACCCCAGCACTCAGGAAGCTGAGGCAGGAGGATCACTGCCAATTCAAGGCCAGCCTGGGCTCCATGATGAGTTCAAGGCCAACTTCAGTGTGACCCTGTCTCAAAAAAAAAAAAAAAAAAAAAAAAATCCAAGCAAAATAAAACAAAGCCTCGGTGGGTGTCCCAGTGGTCCCATGCTCCAGGCCAGCTGCTGAGGTTCTACCATCTTTGGGTACTTGGCTATGACACACACACACACACGCGCCCCACCCTGAGGGAGGAGGCCAGGTTGGGACACTGAGGAGCTGGCCCAGTCCTGCCCGAAGCAATGCTGTAGGCTGGCCTGCAAGGACCGCCCCTGTGCGCCCAGCTTTTTAAAGACAATGTCTTGAGCCTGAAACCCTCCTGCCTCAGCCTTGGGAGTAGCTGGGGTGAAAGATGTGTGCCACTACGCCTAGCTAATGAGCTGGGATTCCAAAGACAGGTTGAGTCCTTCAAATACTCGCCCAACTAAGGTGAGCTTGCAAAGTATTTCCTTTTCTATCATCCCTAAATTGTTTTTTGTTTTTTTTTTCAGTTTTGTTGTTGTTGTCGTTGTTGTTTTTTGAGACAAGGTCTCACTATGTGGTTGAGACTGACCTGGAACTATGTAGCCCAGGCTGGTCCGGAACTCACAGTGATCCTCCTGCCTCAGCCTCCCGACTGTTGTTTTGTTTTGAGACAGGGTCTTGTTGTGTAGCCCAGGTTGGCCACGTATTTGTGGCAATCCTCCTGCCTTGGGGTCCTGAGTGCTGGATGACAGGCCTGTGCCATGTCCAGATTAAATTTTTTTATAACACATAAGAGGATTTTTTGTGTTTTAAGAGAGATCTCATTAAGGCTGGCCTTGAAATCCTAGGCTCCAGCAAGCCTCCTGTATCAGCCTCCCGAGTAGCACACCAGGGCACTGGGGAACCTGTCTCATCCTCTATTTTGTGGCGCTAGAGCCTCACCCAGGCCCTCAGTGGTGTTTCACAACCAGGAAGAATCCGTTCTTTTCACAGACACAAAACACAACCCGGGGTTCCCTCTGGGTTCCAGAAAGAAGGGTGACCCGGGTGGCAAGGCCTGGTCCTGAGTTCAGGGCCGTCCTGACTCGGCCACAACAGATCCTGGCACGGGGGCCGCAGCGGAGATGCCTCCCGGGGTGACAGCAGCTTTGCCTGTGTGCCTGGTGGCTGCACTCTCCCTCGGGCCCAGGGCCCGGAGGCCTTCACGGTGTGGTGCTGCTGCTGCTGCTGCTGCTGCTGGGGGAGGAGGGCTGGGTAGGAAGCCTCCCGCCCAGGCCTTCCTGAGATCCAGGCTGGCTGGGAGCCAGGCCAAGCACGCTTCCTTTGCGGCTTCCTGGAAGGCAAGATAAGGAGGAAGAGGCTGCGGGAGAAGGGCGGCTGCTGGCTCAGCCTCCTCACTGCAGCACGACCTGAGACACGCTCCCCAGGGGCAGATTCCTGCAGCGATGGTGAGGCTCCTGCCAGAGCACTTGCTGCGGCCCCGGCTCCCAGCCCCAGCAGAGGACAGAAAAGGGAGCGGCGGCCACACCAGAGAAAGCAGGTGGGACAGGCCAGCAACAAGAGGCCTCCTGCCGCCCGACCTTCGCTCCAGACCTTCCCCGGGCTGGTGGATGCTAAAAGCGTCACCTCCTTTGACCAAGCCCTCTTAATAGCCACCCTCTGCGAGCCAGTGGCTGTTTGCTTCCATTATAGGCCCGCCAGCCTCTAATTATCTTGTTTATTTATTACCTGTCTCCCTGGCTAGACTGGAAAGCTCACGGTGGGTGTACACTTGGTCCGGTGCCGAGTTATACCCCAGCCTGACCGGGCACACACGGGGCCTTGAGACCTTGGGAAATATCCCAAAAAATCCTGGCGGGAAATCCCTTGCCACCCAGGGAGACAGACGGGGAGGCGGGAACGGCTCACCCCACAGGTGAGGAAGGGTGGTCAGGACAGGGTGTCCCCAGGAGGGAGGGCCCCAGTGACCAGTGTTGCCTTTCACTACATTCTCAACGCAGACCCTGCAGAACCCGACAGATGCACGGGGCTGGGTGCAGCTCAGTGGTGAGCGCTCCCTTAGCACTGTGAGGCTGGGTTCGTCCCTGGCACCGCCCTCTGTGAGAAAAAGGGAAAAAAGGGAAAGATGGGCCGGGATGTAGCTCAGAGACGCTGCGCCTGCCTGGCAAGCCAAACACCCTGAGTTCAATTCCCACCCTAAAAATCTAAAATAAAGAGGCTGGGCATGGTGGCACACACATATAGTCCCAGCACTCAGGAGGCTGAGGCAGGAGGATCACCAGGAGCTCAAGGCCAGCCTGGACTACACAGGAAGACCCTGTCTCAAAAAATACAAAACAAGAGGGCCAGGGATTTAGCTCAGTGGTGCCACCGCCTGCCTAGCAGAGGCAAAGACCTGAGTTCGATCCCAAGTACCAAAAAAAAAGTTGGGAGTAGGATGGCAGTAGGACAGCCGAGTTTCAGGGAAGACTCCTCGGGTCAGGTCTCATCTGAGTGGACAGAGGCCTGAAAGTCAAGACTCGGAGTCCAGGGATCCTCCTTACGCCCCCTTTTCTGGCTCCAGCCCGACCACAGGGACCTGGGGGCATGAGTCAGTGTCCTGCCTGTCTGCCCTAGAAAGCCCGGGCACTTGCAGGAGGGAAGAGGCCGGAGGAACGCACACTGGGTGAGCATGTCCCACAGGGACAGTTCTACACGGGGGGAGAGACGTTGTGGGGAGGCCTGTAACCCGTTATGTGAGAACAGGACGATCGCAAGTTCAAGGCCGACCTGGGCAACTTACCAAAACTATATTATCTCAAAATAATTTTTTTTAGCCGGGCATGGTGGCGCACGCCTGTCATCCCAGCACTCGGGAGGCTGAGGCAGGAGGATCGCTGTGAGTTCGAGACCAGCCTGGGCTACACAGTGAGTTCCAGGTCAGTCTCAACTACATAGTGAGACCCTGTCTCAAAAAAAAAACAAAACCAAAAAAAAGTTTTTTTAAAAAACTGGGCTGGGCGTGTGCCTCAGTGATGGAGCATTTGCTTAGCACGTGTGAGGCCCTGGGTTCCATCCCCGGCACCGCAATAACGACAAAATAGTAAATAAGTAAAAATTAAGAAAAGAAGCCAGATGTGGTGGTCCAGGCCTGTAACAACACCCACATGGCCAGGCGGCGGCAGGAAGACCGCTGCGAGTTAGTTTGAGGTCAAGCGAAGTTACACAGCGAGGCTGGCTCAGAAAACCAAAAAGTCGGGCGCGGATGAGCGACTTCCTGCGCCTGCGCGCTGGGTCCCGGGCAGCCCCGCCGGGCCGGGAGTGGTATGGCCCTGGGGAGCTCGGCTTTTTTTTCTTCTTCCTTCTGTGCGCCGTGTCCTCCCCTGGCCGTGGACCCCCCAGCCTCCCCGGGGAGGAACCGCTGCGGGACCCAGCAGCC